CAACTGGTGTCTTTATTATTGTATAACATCTACACAGGTGACGAATCATGGATCTATGCATATGAGCCGGAAACAAAGCAGCAATCAACTGTATGGGTCTTCCAAGACGAGACAAAACCAACAAACAACGAGACAAAGTTGTTCGAGTAAGAGGCACATGGAAACAAATGATTGCCTGTTTCTTCGGCATTAACGATCATGTGGCAACAGTGGCGTTAGAGCAACGCAGAACGGTCAATTCTGAATGGTACACGACCATTTGTTTGCCAGAAGTCATCGGAGAAATTCGAAAAAAGCAGAACTGGCGAATCATTCTTCATCATGACAATGCGAGCTCTCACACATCGACTCAAACAAAGGCATTTCTGACGGAGCGAAAGATCGAACTAATGGGTCATCCGCCGTACTGCCCTGATTTGGCACCCAATGACTTCTTCTTATTCTGGTCCAGAATAATAACGAATATAGCTGTTAATAATCTTGGGTTTCCTTCAGACGCAATAACGAAATTATAATTAAATAGAAACTCAACTAAGGTGTACTTCGGTAATCAAATGGAAACTACCATATATTTTCCCAAAATCTGCTGCACGTGGCAAATTTTGCTACTCCATGGACACTTAATTCTGTTCTGCACGTTATCTTCACAATGTTTGTAGTTCGGCAAAGTTAAAAACAGGCACTGAACTTCAAAAATTAACGTTTTTTTTATAGTAATCAAATTTACCCCCTTTAGCTGTTTCAGGTATATCCATAATTATTATTATTAATATTTTTGCTAATCGGAAAAAATGTGTAAAATTTTAAAGTAGTTTATCTAGAAGCAATTTAGGTATATCTGTAATTTTTTTTCTCTAATCATCTGAAATGCAGGAAATTTTGAAGTAGTATACCTAGAAATAAAAAAATAAGCTTCGAAGCTCACGTGCATATTCAAGAAAAGGTCAAAATAACCCCATAGTTAAACAACAGTTTTACATGAACTGTCAGTCGCTATATGAAAAGGAATGAAGATCATATTAAAGATTTTTAATTGTATTAGATTTGCACTATTTTTTTAACAATATTCTCACAAGACCTATCAGTATAACTGATTATTATTACTTATAATTTCATTTTGTTATTGCGATTAATAGAATTACTTTTCAGTTCTTTTATTTTCACTAATTAATTTCCGATAGAACACTTAAATGTTAATCATTAACATTTCAATTTTTTTTTTAAATTTATGGATTAAATTCGGATTTTTTACACACATCTATAAGGCATATGAAAATAGGCAAATCCAAAGGTATTGGGATTTGATCCAGTGGAGGCTTAAAGCCCATCTAGCTTCAAAACAATGTGTACCATCTTGTCTAGAAAGTATAGGCTTCAGGACCAAATTTGTCATATTCATGCCGTTGCTCATGAAATTGTGGAACCTCAACATCCATTACCCCTTGACTTACAACGGGCTAAAGTGAGAATGCTTTCCTTTTTTAAAAAAAAATTGTTTCTAATGTAATTTGTGTTTATTTATTAAAGTAGTCTTTATATTTAAGTGACTTAGGTATGATAATCGTAAGTAATAGTACTTGAACGCTAAATTTGAAAATTAAATTTTACATACATGATCATATTGCTTTTTAGGCGCCATTTTACACGTTCGGTGTTTAGTCCAAAAACTGAGTTCCCAATTGTCAGTTCCTGTTTTACTTTCAATTCTATGATTGGAAAGCCTAACACCAGCTCAGAAACTGCACCTGCCGGGGCTTGTAAGTAATTTTATCAATTTTCTGGAATCAGCGCATAGTGTTTTTTATAAATATAGCTTCTACCAAAGACGTTTTTGAGGGAAAAAAACATATCTTTGCTAATCAACTTTTTTATTCGAAGAATTCTTGCCCCGAAATGTCATTGTGCGTGGCTAGGCTTATTATAAACTGTTCAAAAACACACAAAGAATTAGCTTATAATAAGGAAGCAGTCCTAGCCACGTACGACAATTTGCAGGGCATAGGTTATTAAACAATTTTATTCCTGATGATATGCATTAACTACCCTAGACACTTGTCGCAACATTTATGCAACCCTTTGTTATATCGAATGTTTTTAAACTTGTACATTTCATTAAAAAATAGACAAAAAATTTTACATAAAATAACAGTAGCTTGTTGAGAGAAGCCAATTACAGTTTTGAAATCGGTAATGAAATATATTATGCAATAGCTAAAAAGAAAAAAAATTTCTGTAGTGATATATGTCAAATTCATCTCATACGATTAATATATAAACAACATATGCTATCCTACGATTAACGTGTCAATGTTTTTACATAAAATTGCAGTAATAATATGTTTTCTTTAGAAATGCGTTTTTTTACTTTTTCATTCTTTTCTCTCAAAAATATTGGAATATCTCAAGGAATATCTCAAGGATATGACAAAAATATCTAATGATAACTAAAAAACTATCACAAGGTCTTTAAATAGAGTTTCCTTTTCTTTTTTAAAAGAAAAAAGGATTTAATTTACACGTTTTTGGTAGAATAGTACATATAAAAAGGTGAGACAAAATAATGGAAATATTTCAGCACTAATATATTTTTTCATATTTTTCACGAAATAATTCAAGAATCATTTCATAACTTTAGAAATGTTTAAATCATGCCATTTCTCATACTTATCAATGATGTTTTTAACTTTCAAAGGTTAGAGGGACCGACAATAAATTACAAGCTCAAAATAGTGTTTTTAATCACCTGGGCCATAAATTGTGGTATTAAATTTTTTGTAACTTTTAAAAATTATTCTGGTTAATTTATGCTATAATTGTAAAAAAATTTTTACGCCTAGCTTAGATTTTTATGGAGATATGGAGATTTTCATAAAAAAAAGAAATTCTTACTTTTATTGTTATAACATTCAAAATATTCAACAAAATTTAACAACATTCTTAAAGCAATTTAAAATTAAGTAATTTTTGCCTTAAAATTTGAAAAGAATACGTTGAAAACAGTGCAATATGTAAGAAATTAAACTTAGCTATTTTATACTGCTCATGCACGTAAAAAATGTAGATTGGAAATGTAGATTAGATTAGAGATGTAGGATTAGAATTAATACTGGAATTAAAATTATTTTTACCTATTAAATTCCAAAAACTTTTATATAAGTCTGAAACTTACAAGTATTTTGTAAAGTTACTCTTTCATAGCGAATTGGAACGGCAACCAGAAATCTTTCGAAATCGATATTTTGACACAGTGCGATTTTATTTCGTTATCTGTTTTTGACGAAATATCACGCTAGATGGTATTTTGTAGGTGTTGCTTTGGACGTAATATTTCGTTTCCAGAAAGTTCATCCATATCCTCTTTTTTTATGTATTATTTCGTGCGAATGACTTCTCTTTTCAAAGAGGTTTTGGAGAAGTATCTTTAAAGGGATTCTTCCAACTGTTATTCGTTATGGCAAACTAAGCAATTTTACTACGATTATTTTTTTAAACTGTAAACTTAACCAACATAATGTTCAAAATTTTGTAACAAAAAAGAAAAGAAATTATATAGTATTACTTTAAAAAAAAGACTAATATTCACATGTCATAATTAATTTAGAAATTAATTGTAACATTTGAATATATAAATTTTTAATTTTATTTGTTGGTGTTGCAATAAAAGTTTTGTAAATTTTCAGATTTTGCCTTTACAATGAACCTTGACCCAGCAAGACATCCACCATTTATCAATAAAACTAAAGCACAAATCTCATTTCACAATTCTCGACAGTTAATAGATCCCTACGAGCAAGGATTTTCAATGGAGATGGGAAAAAAGTATACTTTTCGCTTGAAAAAAGTAATTAAAATAAATTTCATTATCTTTGCATAAAACTGAGTTAGATATAATTAATTTTATCTTTAATTTTCAAACAAGCAATAATAATAATAATAATCAACTCTTCACACCGCAGACAAATGGGATAAACTTTACAGTTTTACAAAGGAGTATACGGAGCGACTTCTGTAGTGCAATTGAGAAACCACGAGAAGTTATTGTTATACACTAAAAAGTATGTAAATCGTAATTCGAAGTTTCGAGAAAGTATTTACTCAAAGAAACCTGAAAAAGGTATAATCTTTTTCGATTTATTTACTTTTATTCTGATAAAGGACTTGTTAAATCATGTTTTTCAACCTCAGCTTCTAAATGTAGTATACAATTAGAAATACTGTCACTATTGATTAAAGAAACAATTTGCAAGTGTGTACATATTTCTCGTATAACTCCAAAATCTTCTGTACTAAAATTCTAAAATTTGGGAAGTGGGTTCAAATAAAAATTTCAGCCCTGATCTCAAAATCATTCAAGATTTCATTTAATCATTGAAGAGTGGTTGGAAAAACGATTTTTTTTTATGTGAAGCAGTTTATTAATGTTAACTAAATTGAAGCGATTTTGTTTCTTTAAACATTTGAAAAATAACGTCAATCATGTTTGTTGGATAGCAGTTTGATCAAGAAAGTGCTTCATTGAGAGTTTATTACTTGTTTATCTATAATTTATTATTTTATTTCTGATTCTATATTTCAGATAAAATAAATTTATATTAACGCATAGGAATTTGTAGTTTGAATTTATGATTTGAAATCATGTATTTACTTTTCTGATCACCAACTCGAGCTATAAGAGATCAGCGAGAAAGTTTCGGTCACGAATAAAAAATGGTCAACACTAGTCCGAAATCAAAGGTTTTTTGCTTAAAGATTTAATGAAAAATCCATCATTTCTTCTGACTCGGATTTATATAAACAAGGTTGAACACCTATTGTTTTCATCATCATTGTTTTGAACATCAAAAATTATGAATAGTTAGCTTTCAAACTTTTATTTCTACTGAAAATTTAGCTTAGTTTGTTACAAAATTCATTGGTCATGCTAAAAAATCATTAAAAAATTCGTAAAACTGTATTTTTTTAGAGATGATGCCTATGAATGCCCTCACATGTTATTTCCGTTTCAGTACTTTGTTGCCAACGCCAAAGAAATAATTTCATCGTTTTTTTAATAATATAATCTTTAAGGTAATTTATAATAAAGATCGTTTTAATTTTCGACATTTTTTTAAATCAGCATAAAGAAATACCAAGAAACCAGCTCCTCATCACTCTATGTCAGTGTGTCCCAAAGTGTGGTACGCGTACCACCAGGGGTACGGGAACAGTTTAACGGGGGTACGAGTTCTTATGCGAAATATCTTGCAACAAACGAATATTTCAAATAATTTTATTAAAAAACAAAGCTAGCCATGGAAATTTACGATTATGTACTTTTCTATTGATTATTTTTTGCAGAGTTAACAGTTAATAATTAGTGGTGTCAACAGCCAGTTGTGATTTTTATCTTTTGTGCAATTTTTTTATAGTAGAAAATACATTCATTTTTTTATTAGTGGTACACAGCGGTACGAAAAATTTAGAAAGGGTACACGAAAAACTTTCAAAGATGTTTAAACTAACTTGCATTTAGAATTTATTTTGGTCTTATTAGGTTTAGTATTGAAAATACATAGGATAAATAACATCACTTGCCTGCGGAACAATATCAAACGCATAAATCTGTATACGAAAAAATTTACAATGTCCACAAATAAAATCTCGATTTCTTCTTAGCTATAACGGTTCGGGACTCGTTTTATTCGATTCAGTATAAAATAATTGCCAAACTAAACATACCCCTTTAAACTGTCCCCATAATAAAAAGACACAATACCTTAAAATCATGTAATAATAGCAGTAAAAATGTGCTTTAATCACAAAGTTCACAATTGTTATACGTTTTTTATACTGCACTGTTGAGACTAATTAACAAATATTTAGATCGAAAAGAATCTGCTTCCTTATCCATACGACACAAACTGCATTGATTATTTAGAAAAATGGAAAGCAAGAGGAGGTCACGGACCTACAAATGAAAGAGTAAGAGTCTCTTCTTTACTTCCTGCTTAATAATGCTATATTTTTATTATTATGAATAACCAATTATGGATAACCAATTGTAAACAATAAGCTTTCTTTCTCCTTAACGAATCTTTAAAAATTACCGATGCATGTGAGGGAACAGGTTTGGTATTCTAGAAAGTTTCGCTATTAAGATTCGAATTAGTTTTCACCCTTATCACTATTCATTACTTTTTTGTGGACGAAAAAGCCTGGTTAGTATGAGAACGCGATTTTTAATCCCTCCCCCTAAGGAATCCCCGTCTATTAAGTGATGACTGTGCTCTTTAAATCTGCCTCCAAGTTCCAATAACAAATCAATACATAGAGGATATAGACCTGGAGATTGATCATTCTCTGCTTCAAATCAAAAATACGATCTGTAGATAAATAAATATAGTGTGATTGAATCTTCTTTGTAAAACTAGCTGTTATGTGTGTTTTCTTGGCCATAGATGGTACCGCTGCAAAAACAAGAAACGCACTCTCTGCCTTAAAAATTCACTTGATTTCAAGCAAACTTGCTGCAAAATTGGGTCGGCTGTTCACCGGCAGTTACAGAAGAAAAGTTACATAAGTAGAGTCACGATGGTTCAGGGGGTGGAGCGTTCGCCTTCCAATGAGGAGAACCGGGTTTGAATCCCAACGATGGCTGGTAGATTCCGCTTCCGGCTTGTACCGAACACAGTACTGACGCGAAATGTCGTCAGTGGTAGACGAATCATGGGTTGGAGTCCCTTTACCATCAGACTTACCGTCGTAGGGCACTAGGCCCATTTTCAAGAGGTCGTGGGATAGATTCTCGCCAGTAGTAGATTCTCCCCATGTAGTATAAGGTGACTGATCCAAATTAAATCTGTCGAGTCACAAAGTCAGCCACGTTTCCATAGCAAATCATACCTCTGGGGGTATTGAGCGAGGAGTTTCCTTGTCATTTAGATTTGTTCAAAATTGCAAGGCTATATACATACTACAGAACATTAGTAGTCGTTGACCCAAAATTGAGTCGGCTGTTCAATGACGGTTATAAAATGAAATGAAAAGTTTCATACGTTAGTGGCATAAGCAACAAAAGCGTTAATGATTTGAACTGGGTCCAAATCCTAGCCATGGTTGGTTGATATGAATTCTGCAACCGTCTCGCGCCATCCACAATGCTAAAGTAAAATATCCTCTGTTTTGGGCAGAAAATGGGTGACAATTCTCTGACCGTCCAGCTGACCATGTGAGCTTTTCCTCTCCATGGAACGCAATGTGATTTAGTTTCATCAAAACGTCCGAAACGGAGGTAAAATTTCTCCCAATACTTAATCCAAGAGTTTCTTTGTCTCCTTGATGGGATTCAAAATTGCAAGGCTAAGGAGTTGGACATTAGCAGAAGTAAACAGAAAATTGGGTCGGCTGTTTAACGACGGTTATAAAGTGACATAAGTAACAACAACAATAATTTTTTGAACTTTATATACCTAATCTCATTACGACACATAAAATGAAGTAAAAATATTAGAAAAAAACTAGTAAATGAAATAATTGTGTTAACTTTCATGAGTGTTATCGTCCATTTTAACGGCTAATTGTTTCCGACACTGAATTATCTCTTATTTTCTATTTCAACCAATAATGTTCTAAATAGAAGGGATGGGTGAGAAAATAAAACAAAAAAGTTGGTGCTTCGCATTCTTTATGTTACCTAAAAAATTTTGCTCAGGTTCTTTAGAAAGTAATCTTTTTATTTTAAATTAAACTTTAGGAGTGCATTCAGGAATGTTATACAAATATTACTTTGACTGCCTATGGACTGTCACAAAGCAAAAAAGGATTCAACATTAAACGTGAGTATGTTTTACTTACGAAAATAAACCACACATATGAATTAAGTCTTTTACAATGTGATGTGGAGCAAAAATTGTGCGCCATAGTGCAATTTCTAAAAGCAACAAAAGAAAGAAAAACATGGAAGTTTTGTATTTTGATCAATTTTTTGAGCTTTTTTCTAGAGCGATTCAAAAAGATAATACAAGTCTACGACTTTAAACTTTCATGCTAATGAGATTGAATTTGGAATTATGTGGAATATATATATATATATATATATACAAGGTGTCTCAGTTAAGCGTTTCAGAACTTCTAAGAGGGGTAGGGGGCATCCTGACGACTCGAAATCATATAGCAATGTGGGGTCGGAAATGCTTTCCTGAAGCGGTGACGTACACAGAAGCACCATAAAGAAAAGAGACCGTAAGTGAAAAATC